GTAACCAATCAGACACATGCAAAGTGATCTATCACATTCAGACCAGGCAGCCATTCACCTCTCTATGTTCCGCATGCATTTCTTCATTCAGCTAAAGGTTGATATATTGGTATGGAGGAGAAATACAGGGCAGCTCTTACAAGGTTGCATTTCTCGTTGAACGGGCTCCATAACTCAACGTTCCATCAACAGGGCTGAGTGAGATGAATGGAGCGTGAGCTATCAGTAATGCAGGACCTCGTTTTCAGAAAGACAAGAACAGACAGTCATCAAGTGATTTTAATCCCACGCTCCTCTATGTGCAATATGATAGTGTCATATTGCACATAGAGGCAGCCAAAGGAAACATTCTGCCAAAATTTGCCAGACGAATAAGAGACAAGTCCAGATGAGTTGTGCCCCAGAGTCAGGGGTGAGGAATTACATCTGGCTATTGGGCTGGATCCGTAATGCTCCCCACTTCCCCTAGGCCGACTTTGACAGGTGAGCAGCAGTGCCCACCTGTCAATCACCTGACATCATAATAATCAGACACCTGTCAAAAAGTTCAAAAGCAGTAGCTGTAACCACCAACCAACAGATCTGCACTCACAGCAACCTCCTTTGCAGATGTGCTATCAATGCCAATCAGCTGATTTGCACTGGGGGCTCACCTTCAAAAAAGCTTGTTGCAACTGCCAGTCAGGTGATTGGCGGTTACAAGGAGTGGCTTTGATGTCCATTTGGAGCAAGCAGTTTGGATTCGTGCAGTTGTCTCCAAGCAAAGCATTTTTCTCTTCTGTAGAGGGAAAATAAAGCTTTGTTTGGAGCCAGCACCTTGAACACATAAAGAACATTTTAAAGATGTGAGCAACTGACACTTTGGAGAAAAAGGCAGCCCAAATGCTATTAACTCAAATTTAAAGTAGGCAGGTGGATTTTAAAGCGCACGCACACACACACACACACACACACACACACACACACAGGCTTGGGATTCCAGAAACAGAGTAGGTAAGGAATCTGTCCGGAGGCATTTGTAAAGCATTACACAAAATCTCTCTGTTCTCCACTTTATCATTTCAAAAGGCAGTATCTTCCTAACATGTCCCATCAGCACAAGGATCCCATTGTGCAAGTAGTGGGACAATTTACTCAGCACCATACTGGATACAACCTCAAAGGGCTTAGGAAGCCAGTGGATATTCTCTTCAAATAGAAATTCGGGTTAGCTGGCCATTCACTCAGAACTTGGATGTAACTAAGACAGCTGTAGTGCCCAAACTTGTTATCACTGAGAGTAAACACATAGACTAAATTCACCGGAAGAACTACAGCAAACAGTTTGGGATACAGGAAACCCAAAACTGAAACATGAAGAAACATGTGGGTGATGCTGAACCCATAAACTGATCGGCAAGAACAAGACCGCTAATGCAACATCTTGAAAAGCACTTTCAGCAAAAGATCTCTATATACAAATGGAAAATCATTAAGGGTGGATACAGTCAACTATTTATAAAAAGGAAAAGAAAAGAAGAAGTCAGCCTGGAATAGATTTCTGGTTTGGGGAATTTAGAAGTTATATTTAGAAAGGAATACAATAGAACTAGATAAACTAATGTAGCTAAATATTTACACAGAATCTCCATATTAAAAGAAACCCCAAGAGAAATCAGACAAAGAAGCCAAGATAACTGAGTTTGGGGAAGCAAGTTAGTAAATAATGAATATGTATAAGGAAATTTTTTATTATATTTATTCACTTAGGAAATAGGGGAAGCATAAGGGCTGGCAAATATCAGTTTATGAAGAGGAAGAAACTGCAGAAGATTCTTCCCCTTTGCCTCCCACACTAGTACCAAGCATGTCAAGCATCCATGAAGCACTTTGGAACGTCAGGTCAATCAATTGCTTAGGTTTATTCACAGCTTGGAAAGATACGTCAATTTCAGAAAGCCACACTTTGGATGAGCAGGTGGAGTGCAGGTTTATAAGTTACAGTTTATAAGTTAAGGTGGAGTGCAGGTTTATAAAGGGACAGATGACACTGCCCAAAAGCAAAAAGAAATGTTTCAGGGCTGGTTTGCAGCAAGGCGGTGAATGTGTGTCTAAATCATCCCAAAGGAGTTGGGAAACTGGATCGGGCTGTCAAGCCAGATAATGCTTTGAAATGGGTTTCTGAAGATTGTCCAAGTGTTTTTGCCTGAATGGAATATGCCTCTGAATTCATGCCTGTTTCTTGCCTGAATGAAGGATAAAAAGTGAGAAAGTCTGTAGAAATTAACCCACTGTACACAAATACAATTTGCATTTATTGCCCTGCTCAATTTTGACTCTGGCTCTGCCCACCGCTGGTGTGTGGCCCCTGTAAGGTTGCTCAGAAAGGAATGTGGCCCTCTGTCTGAAAAGAATCCCCACCCCTGTGGGTTTAGATAACCCACAGCGATGCTCCTACCTACAAAAGTCTGAAAGCAAAAAACCCATTACAATACATTTGAGCAAAAGAACAAAAATGATGTTGGCTTATATACAGCAACAGAGGATAAACCATTGCAGAGAAAATGAGAGCAGCAAACAGAGTAAATCCTTCAACAACATATAAGATGGGGATCAGGCAGCATGTCCTGTTCTCATCTGAGAAATGGGTGGAGGGGGGTTGCCACAAGATGGATGCTAGCCAAGTCTTCTCTTCCATATGCTAATCCTCAGTGCAAAAAAGGATTTCTTCAGAGGTGCATTCAGTCTTGTGAGCCTGACCCCCTGCAAAGTGGAGTGGGGCAGTCCCAGGCACAGGCAAGGTACCCCAGTGAAAACTAAGCCATAGTGATGAAATTTGGACATCAAGTGTGTGAGCTAACTTAGTTGGCTAGGAGTCACCTCAGGCTAGCTCAGTGGTATAACCTAGTCTAAGTGGTAGACCATGAGCTTCACATGCAGAAGGACCCAGGTCCAGCTTCCAACACCTCTAGCTAGGGCTGGGGAAAATCCAGCTGGAAATCCTAGAGAGATGCTGCCAGCCAGTGTAGACAATACTGAGCTAGCTGGAACAATGGTCTAACTTCAGTATAAGGCAGCTTCCTGTGTATCTAAAAAGATGTGCTGTGAAATGTGGCTATTCTCTGTGCCTCACTGCTTATTAGGCTGGCAGTTGGGAACAGGAGGGGAGAGAGAGAGAGAGAGAGAGAGAGAGAGAGAGAGAGCGCGCAGGTAATGTATTTTTGGGTGCCAGATTTGGCTCAGGGCTTCCAGTTGCTAACACCTTCCTTAGAATGATCTTTACTAACACCCCATCTTCTAAAATGTGCCTAGGTCAATGTAAGATTCACAAACAAAAATTGAAGAAGTAAACAGCAACAAGTTTAGCATAAGTCTGGATTTCTTCCAAAATGCCAATGAAGTGTTTCTCAAAGAGAAAGAAGAAGAACATATGGGCTAGGTAAATTTGATGTTATTTTAGTTCAGTAACCTATAGCAGTCTGTGCAACAGAGAGAAGGCTGGTTAAAAATAGGGTTTTAAAAAATAATTGCAAGGCACTGTCTCTTCCAGGCAGGAATACAGGACAAAATGAGTTAAACATACTTCAGAAAACATTTGTGCCTCTTCTCACCCACTCTGAGAATGCAAGCCCCCTAACCACTCCAAGCAGATTGTGGGGCAGTATTCCCCCACTGCAGCAGGCAAGGGGCAGTCCACAGGCCCATCCAGCCTAATCCTGACCGACATGGACTTAAGCTGGGACTTTCAAAATGCAGGCTGTGGGTGGGACAATTTTGGACTGCATGGGTGTCCTTCCTCTTCACCATGTAAAAAACAACAACAACAGCATCCAACAGACAGGTTTAGCATAGCCTTCTCCCTAATTAGTTTGCTACATGCAAAAAGCTTTTTCCATGGGGCAAAACTGGGCAAATTCCAGGTTTCAGTAAGACAGAGCAAGGAGAAGCCAAGGCAAGGCATGACAAAACCAGGGGATCTGATGAAGCAAACCAAGGTATGTCAAACAAGAGCAATGGATAGTAGGACTCATGTAGCACCCTGGACAGCTCCATGGAGAATGCAATGCAGATTCATAGGAGCAAGATTAGGGTTTTGCTTCAGCTTTGCTGAATTTAGTAAAAAGGTGCTTTGACAGCATCTCAGGCCTCCTAAGATCTATAAGAAATTACCAGGAAATAACTTCCAAGGTGAGACTATATCAGAGATGGGGAATCTCTGGCCTGTGGCCCTTAAAGCTTCTCTATTTGGCCCTTGAGACTCTTCCTCAGCCATACCCCCTCTCCCTAGGCCACACCCCTCACCAGCCCCACTTCACACTCTCCCTGAGTGTTTTTGCCTCACTTGATTGTGCCTTTGAACTCTGATAATGCTACTTGCTTGCCCAGGTGGAAGCTAGAGAGAGGCAGGGGTGTAGAAACTAGCCTACTGTAGAAAGGGAAAATGTATATTCCTTACTGCACCCACTCCAGCCTCTGGTGGCACCCTCCATTGGCATCTAGCCCCCAGAGGGTTGCCCAGAAGGAAATGTGGTCCTTGGGCTGAGAGTGGTACCCAACCCCTGGGCTATATAGATGCAGCATCCCTCTCATACCCATGACAGGCCAAAACTGTCCTGGGATGCATAGTCAGAGATCTTCAATAGCATCCTCTGAAACTGTGCAATCCCTCACCCCTAGGGGGCACCTGAGGTTGCACCCACCTCAAGACAATGAGCCCCGATGGAGAGCCAGTGTGATGCAGTGCTTAGAGTGTTAGCCTCAGATCCAGGAGACCAGGTTTTGAATTCCCACTCAAGCATGAGGCTCCCTGGGTAGCCTTGGGCCTGTCACTGCCTCTGGCTAAGCTACCTCACAAGGTTGTTGTGAGAATAAGAGAAAAATATGGGAGATAAATGCAATTGAAAGAAAGAAAGAAAGAAAGAAAGAAAGAAAGAAAGAAAGAAAGAAAGAAAGAAATAAATGGTGGGATCTACATGCCCTAAAGATGCTGACCTGTGGGCTGGATAAGTGAATATACATACCTTTAATTCACAATGCAGGCAGGGCATAGTTTGGTGAGTGACGTGAGGCAGAATAAGATGAGGGAGAGGAAGCAAGGAAGTGTTCCTTTGGAGTCTTTCAAGGAAGGCAGCATAGGAGTGCAACATTCTGGATATTATTGAGACAGTGAAAAGGGCCTGTGTAAACAAAAGCAGATACCTGAGATATCTTTCAGAAGCACCTTCTTCCTTCCTTCCTTCGCCGCTGCAGAACTAAGCAGGGCGCCTTTTTCTCGCGGCAGCTGAATGCAAGGGCAGAACCGATATCCATAAATCAGCATATTACTCATTTTCTAGCATTGCAGCCTGACAGCTGTTACAAGAGCACATTGTTACGAACTGTCAGGCGGTGAAGCACAGTGCCTTTTACAACATATGTTGACTTTTATCTAATGTTGTTTCATAATTAGCCCCAGGGAGTCAGAATCTGGGCATCCAACTGGCTGTATGATCTCAGCTAACCTTTGCTTCCACTGGGAGAAAGTGAGAGCCAGGAGGGAAGGGCCCTCTGTGACTTAAGGTTGCGGGGGTGGCAGGAAGCAAGAGACATTCTCTTTTAATGCCTTAATTCTATAAACTCTGTCAAATATATTCTAAAATTCTCAGGGTTCCTCAGCAAGCTGGAAGGCATAGGAAGGAAACCTCTAGAGCAGACCTGTCAATTAACCCACAAAAATGCCTCGGAGGTTTTTTTGAAATATTAAGCAGTATATAAATGCTTTTAAATCATCATCCTTATTATTACTATTGCTATTATTTATACCCTGCCTTTTCCTCCAGGCTGGGACTCAAGGCGACTTGCACAAATAAAAGGAAATGGGTAAAATGAAGAAAGCTAAAAACACATAAAAGATAATCAATAAAAATTATTAAACCCTAATGGAATTTAAACAATATATAACCAAATCTGTTAAAAACATATAATAAAAGCACAGCACTTTTTTAAAAATAGGGTTGCTGTTGTTGCAGCTCCTACCTTATTACTCCTGAATCCAGATCTGAAAATGCATGGGAGGGGGGCTTCAGAAAGTATCCCCCCCACCACTATTAAAGTACAAACTAGAGATGTTTCTAAAATTCTCCTCAATGGAATTCCACCTTTGATTATGGATTTACAAATGACTGTCCTCCTCTATCAGTTGCTGGCAACTGCGAGAGGGGAAGAGTGTTCTTTTGCTTTTGCACTTCCTGTAGGAAGGACTTCCTGTTTGGCTACTGTGAAAACAGGATGCTGGCCTGAACCAGCAAGCTCCTCTTATGCACCAAAAGTGGTACATAAGTGCAACCTGAATCAAATTCCTCCCCCATCCCTCCTGAAAATGTAGCCCCGATATGCTTTTGGAAAGAGTTCAGCTGCAAGGGCAAGCAAGTTTCAAAACAGAAATAGGGAGGGGCAAAAATTGAAGGCTGCCTACACATTACCGCCTTAAAAATGCAGCTAGGCTGTTCATTTCCTCAACTCAGATAGAAGCTAGTTTGGGGAGAAATGCATCAAAATGCAGTATTTTGGATGGATATACGATCAATACAGATAGTGGCTGACATCATGTGTATCCCATTTCCCAAACCAGCAGTGGGAGTGCATTGGATGCAGAATAAATAGGAGTCAAAATCGATCTATTTTTGGGTCTCATAAGCTCTTTCCATCCCATGTCAGTATCACTATGCAATTAAAAATAAATTAATCTGTGAGCATGCATACAAACAAATCATTTTATTTTAAAACTTTTATTGAGTCATGAACTGCATCAGAACAACCTCTGAAAGCCAAGGGATGTTTAAATTTGCAACCTAGTTGGTCCACTGGGGGAATCAGGCACTGCCCCATCGAGCTCAGTCTGCCCTCAGCTACCCCCAGCCCTGCCTGCCTTCTTACCTAGAACCAGTCCAGGGGGTGGCACTGCCTGTTAGCGTCCTCTTCCTTCGCCTCTTGTAGAATCCAACAAAATTGCCCTTGTAGAATGCAACAAAAAGGAGGAGGCTGGCGACAAAGCTAGAATCCTGACTCACCACTGACAAACACAGATGGGGCAGATCGGACCAGTTTCCATCAAATTCTGAATTCCTCCTAAGGCTAGGAGACACTAGCCTTACTGCTGTCAGGGGGATTTTAAACCCCGCTGGCCTTTCAAGTAAAGCTCCCTTGGAATCCTGTTCCATCAGAATAAGTGTCAGAAGTATTCAGAAGGGGGATGTACTTTTGAGCAATCCCTTGCTCATGAAGGCTGCGCTACAGCAGAACTGCGGTAAATCCAAAGGGATTAAACAGTCCGAAGGGAAAGAATGAAGGATCTTGGGCTGAAATCATAATTTTAAAAATCTATAAGGTGTTTTTCCCTATCCCCAAATCCCCAATCTTCCTTGAAATGCAGGTGTGTTGTGTGTGTGTGTGTGTGTTTTAAATCAATAACATACCCAGTTAAATATGGCTCTCCCTCTCCCTGTCTCTCTCTCCTATTTTTCAAAAGCCAGCTGGCTTGTTGCAGCAGCCGATCCCTTTGGCTTACCAACGGTGGCTACATAATTCATAAGCTCCCTACTAATACACAAATACTGTGTCTCCCCGCAGACCATCTCAGGCAAGCTTGTCTAACTGTTGACTAGGAACCACAAAAAGTTGAGGGAGCGCAACAGGAAACATGAAAGCTCGTTGGCCGGGCCTTAATTGTGAATTACGCAAAGCGGCCCTGGCTCATGAATTATACAGGAGGCCCCGACGCGCGAGGAGACGCGGATGTCGTTCAAGCAATGGACTTGTTTATATGTTCTGCACCGGTGGCTTTGAACTATAGCTCCCTACTTAACTGTAACATCCTCATTTTCTTTGGAGCCAAGAAAGAAGAGAGGAAGATATTCCCAGCTCTGACAATATTTCCTCCTCCTTCCCAGAAGGCTATCTCTTACGCACACACTCACGCATGCATGCGTGCACACACACAAATCTTCACCTCCTGTTGAATACAGAAAGAATCTGAAAAGCCATGTTTGATGGCAGTTACGACACTGGGTGAGAATTGGGGTGGGGGGGGAAAGATGCTGAGCACTTTTCAGTTGCCTGGGGGACACTTTTTGCTCTTCATTGTTTGGGTCCATTATCTAGCCACGAAGCTGGAAGAGCTTTGGGAGGTGTTAAGGGTGCTGAGAGTTGTTAGGAGACGCCCCACAACACACACATAGACAATCCCCTCATGGCACAGCTGTCAACTTTTCCCTTTCCTTGCGAGGAATCCTATTCAGAATAAGGGAATTTCCCTTTAAAAAAGGGAAACGTTGACAGCTATGCCTCATTGAGCTACAGCTGCCAGAGTGGTTTAAGTACATTCAATATTACAAACGTTAATTACATTGGGAAATCTACTTTATTTTATTTTATTTTACTTTATTTTATTTTATCTTAGTTTAGTTAGAAATTATATGGAAAGAGTAATTTAATATTTAACTGTAAATTTATGTAAGGTTTTTTTTTCTTTGTATGTGTGGATTTAAGATACTATATGATATCTATGAATTTTAATAAATGATTTTTTAAAAAAATATATGAAGTGGTCTAACAGTCAATCTCTCCTCCCAGGGAATTCTGGGAATTGTAGCTACAGTCCCCAGAATTCCCTGGGGTCAGTCACATGCTTTAAGTGTATGGTTGTGTAAGCAGACATACAATAGTCTAACACTCTAACCACTACACTACATCACATCAGCTCTCACTTTGGGGCCAAGAAGGACCTTTAGCCTAACACACATTTTGGCGGGTGGGTTGGTATTTTCACCACACTGAACCACTGATTGGTGGAACTAGAAGACCTGCTGTGTTGCTTCTATATGTAACTTGAGTCACTTTTGGGAATTGGGCGCCGGTTAGGTATGTTTCAGCCAGGTGACATGCTTTAGGATGATGAGCTGTCCCCAAGGCTTGCTCTTGAGGCTCTAAGGCAGGACAGGCGCTACCTTTGAGGCCAACCTGCCTCATCCATCTGGAGCTATGGGGCCCTAGGGGGTGCTGGTGCAGCAAGGCCTTCTTACTTACCTTTATGATGTGGTCTGGGAAGCAGGTCAGCCATGCCTCCATTTCCAAAGGCCGGGACCGCGGGTGGCGCTGTGGGTTAAACCACAGTGCCTAGGACTTGCGGATCGAAAGGTCGGCGGTTCGAATCCCTGCGCGACGGTGTGAGCTCCCATCGTTCGGTCCCAGCTCCTGCCCACCTAGCAGTTCGAAAGCACCCCAAAGTGCAAGTAGATAAATAGGGACCATTCTCCAGCAGGAAGGTAAACGGCATTTTCATGTGCTGCGCTGGTGATGGCTCGCCAGCTGCGGCTTAGTCACGCTGGCCACGTGACCCGGAAGCTGTCTTCGGACAAGCGCCGGCTCCTGGCCTCTTGAGTGAGATGAGCGCGCAACCCCAGAGTCGTCCACGATTGGACCTGTTGGTCAGGGGTACCTTTACCTTTAGTGGCTGCAGTTTTAGTTCTATGTTGATATCAGTTAACCCCCATTGCTTCCTTCTACAGGGTTTCATCGAAAACAAAGAGGTCCTAGTTCAACGTAGCCTGTGTATCTCTCAGTATTTGGCCATCTGGTGTCAAATGCCTGAGTAAACAGAAATGTTTTCCAGTTCCTCCCAAAAGTTAATAATGAAGGAGACAGGCGCACCTCACCAGGGAGGGCATTCCGCAGCATCCATTCTGTAATCCCACCACATCTGGTGGGCCTTCTGTCATCTATTGCTGTGCTCATCACCCATACCCTGTGTCAGAGCTTGAAGGTTTTATTTTTATCAGTCGTGATTGACCAATTGATAGACTCGCCCTTTTGTCTTGTCTTTTCTTTTTTTCCAAGAGGATACGCTAATAGCCCGTCTTCTCATCTTCTGGTAATGAATTAAGTTAATTATTCATTATGATTCATAATGAACAAGACGATGCTTTAGCTTCTGGGCCAGCCGGTCTGCCTTGCAGGATTGCGAGGTTCATCTTTCACCCGTACGAGAGGCCACAGTTTCCACTTTTAAAGCCTAACAGACTATTACCATAATCAGATGAGACACAATCCATTGCAATTACCATCTCTTCTGCTAGCTTCCTCTCCCTCATTAATTTTTTTTTTTTTAATCCAACCTCGCCTACAAGTTTCTGCTTGCAGAGTCTGCCATGTTGGGTCAGATTCAGCTACCTGCACATTCAAGGGATACAGAGCTCCGTCCTTATTTTCCATAGAGGAGGCCACTTCAGGTTCTCGACAGCTGCTAAGGGGCTACACAGATAGGAAAGGCTTGCCACTGCAAATGGCAACAGTTAAATAGGGAGAAGCTGCCCTGAGCCTAGTAGAGATGGGGGCACGGCAAATGGACAACCTTGAGAATTCGGCGAGTTAGGCATATAATGACAATGCCCCAGAATAATGGCAAAGCGACAACCATAAGATGAGTCCTGCTGCACCAGGCCAGAGACTCATCTAGTCCAGCTTCATGTTCTCACAGTAGTCAACCAAATGCTTATGGGAAGTCCTGAAGCATGACCTGAGTTGCAACAGCAACCCTCCCCAGCAGCCGGTGTCCAGAGTAAAAGGTAAAGGTAAAGGTACCCCTGCCCGTACGGGCCAGTCTTGACAGACTCTAGGGTTGTGCGCCCATCTCACTCTATAGGCCGGGGGCCAGCACTGTCCGCAGACACTTCCGGGTCACGTGGCCAGTGTGACAAGCTGCATCTGGCGAGCCAGCGCAGCACACGGAACGCCGTTTACCTTCCCGCTAGTAAGTGGTCCCTATTTATCTACTTGCACCCGGGGGTGCTTTCGAACTGCTAGGTTGGCAGGCGTTGGGACCGAGCAACGGGAGCGCACCCCGCCACGGGGATTCGAACCGCCAACCTTTCGATCAGCAAGTCCTAGGCGCTGAGGCTTTAACCCACAGCGCCACCCGCGTCCCTGGTGTCCAGAGTAGGGATGGGCAAATATGTCAATTTCAGTTCCTAAGATATTTCCTTACCCTCCAAGTGTCCCTATTTTCCAGGGATGTCCCTGATTTAGAGAAGCCGTCCCGGTTTCTGATTTGATCCCGGAATGTGCCAGTTTTTCTTAGGATGTCCCTATTTTTGTTGGAGACATGTTGGAGGGTATGGAGTTATCCGATCCCTGAGCCTTCTGAAGGCAATCCTGTATAGCAGGGACATCCACCTTCAAGAGACTGCAATCTACTCACAGAAAAAAAAGCTGGCAGTGATCTACCCATTGGGGGGGGTTGTTGAGCTTTTTTTTAGGGAGGAAAGTCAATCTTTTTTGGGGGGTGCAGGTCAGCAAAAAATTATGCCGATTTTGGGGGGAGCAGCAACATAAAACGATAAACAATAAGCCAACCCGCCAGCGGAAACTCCTAATTCCGTTCTTGAAATCCTGCGTGGATAAAGGAAAGAGGGAGGGGGTGGGACCAAATTCTCCTTTTCTCCCACAGATGTAAATGAGACCATGATTGACCATGATCGACTTCTAACAACCGGGGGTTGACCTGTCGATCACAGTGAACCTGTTGGACATCCCTGCTGTATAGGGAATGTTTTTTTTTTAAAAAAAAAGTTTAATGTTTTATTATTATTTTATCTAAGTTGGAAGCTTCCCAGAGTGGCTGGGACAACCCAATAAGATGTGTGGGGTATGAATAGTCAAATTATAATTATGGAATGGGACGTGCCTATTTTCATCGGAGAAATGTTCGAGAGTATGTACTTTGCAGGGGGGGGTAACATGATTTTTTAAAAGTGGTGTGATACTACTTAGTGTGCATTACAGGTAGACCATGTTAAATTATTTAATTGCACACTGAAATGGAAAACACACACACATACACACACACTGTCTGAAAAGCGAGATGAGCGCCACAACCCATAGTCACCTTTGACTGGACTTAACTGTCCTGGGGTCCTTTACCTTACCTTTACCATATATATATATATGGTAAAGGTAAGGTAAAGGACCCCAGGACACAAGTGCCTCTTCACACAAGTGCCCATTAATGAAGCCTTGACAGCCATTCAAAACAAATACAATCCCCCCGAATACATCCTGGACCTGACCAACCACTGCCTAACCAACACGTACTTCATCCACAATGGACAAAGATACAAACAGATAGAAGGAGCACCTATGGGATCACCCCTCTCACCGGTCATCGCAAATCTGTACATGGAACACTTTGAAACCAATGCTTTAGACAAGTCAGAACACAAACCCAAACTTTGGCTCAGATATGTTGACGACACCTTTGTAATTTGGCCACACGGGAAGGAAAAACTAGATAGCTTCCTCACACATCTCAACAGCCTACACCCCAAAATACAATTCACTATGGAAATAGAAGCCAACAACCAACTTCCCTTCCTTGACGTCCTAATCTACAAAAAACCTGATGGCTCCCTAGGACACACTATCTACCGGAAAAAAACACACACCAACCGCTACTTACATGCACAATCACACCACCACCCTGCACAAATAAACTCCGTAGCCAAGACTCTCATCTCCAGAACCAAACGCCTGACTGACAAAGACCACTTGACAACTGAGTTACAGAATCTCTCAAATGTGTTAATCGCCAATGGATACCAGCAAAACAGGGTTACGAAGCTAATCCAAAAAGAAACACCCCCCAAAAACCAAGACACAGAAGAAAACAATGGCATGGCCCTCCTTCCTTATATCAAGGGCACTACAGATAAAATTAGCAAAATCCTCCATAAACACAATATCAAAACAGCCTTTTGCACCAACCAAAA